AAATATATTTATTTAAAATTCACTCAAAATATGAAACACTTATCGATTCAGAAGATAATCAACACTTCCGGACATTATCTCAACGATTAGATCAATTGAATAACAAGAATATCACTCGTGACGAACAAATGAGTGGATCAGATGTACGGCCGAAGAGTTCATCAATTGATAAACAATTGAAGTCAAGTAGAGATGAGATGAAAGGTGTGAACGAAAGCACGAATGAAGACATGAGTGAAGACAGCAATGGTTTGAATTTGTGGTCAATTATCAACGGAGCGAAAGATAATTTTCAGGAACCGATTAAAACAATGAAGAGTTCATTGAATGTTCAGAAACACACGTCAGTGAAGATTACATCAAATACATCGACATTTCAATCCTCACCACAAGAGATGGTTAACGAAGAGATCATTGATATCAGTAATGAAGACTCGATGGAAGACTCAATGCAACCAAAATTGTTAACTGAATTATTGCCCCAAAGTGTCCGCCAAAGAGACACATCTAAGCCATTGACGAGTCAGGCAGTGATGTGTCGGCCAAATGCGGACCAAAAGACATTCAAACCTTTACTATTGTCTTCACCGAAGTCTCAAGAGATGGACAACAAAGAGATGATTAGAAAGAGAGCCAAAGAATTGGCCGACAAAATGATAGCATCACAGCGTTTGAGGAAAAGGATTGTCAAACACAGCGGCAAAGACTCGGCGAAGAAAATGCATTCAAATGAAAGGATATGTCCGCTCGATGTCAACGAAAGGAAACAATGCTATGATTTGAAGTCAAAGACATTTATTTGTCCCATAAATGAGTGCCACAAGAGTTTTGGCAAAGATCACGGATTTCGGGCGCATTTGAAAGTATTTCACATCGAAAGACAATTTGTGTGCAATTTTGAAGGCTGTGGTAAAGCCTTTACTTATAGACATCGTTTAAAACATCATTCACTCATTCATAAGACAATCAAACCGTTTAAATGTGATTTCAATGGGTGTGAATATCGAGGCGTTAGTCGAGTTCAGTTGAAACAACACATGATTACACACTCGACGGACAGAGTGTTTAAATGTGATGTCAGCGGCTGTGGGAAGACATATAAGTGCAGCTCTCATCTATGGGTACACCAGAGGACACATCAAACTCAACCGATGTATAAGTGCGGGACCGACGGCTGTAGTGATATGTTTCATAGCCCGCATCTACGGACTAAACATCAGGTGTTGGTTCATAACCGACAGCCGTATACTAAACGGGTTTATAAACACCGGTGCCAATGGCCCGGATGTGATTGGATGGGAGTCAGCGTGAATAAACACCAGCGCACGCATACGGGTGAGCGGCCGCACGCCTGTGATTGGCCCGATTGTGGCAAACGGTTTAGAGATTATGATAAACTCAAAGAACACATGAATATTCATAATAACGTTAAGCCCTATGCGTGTCATTGGCCCGGATGTACATACAGTGCCGCTAATGGTAGTAATGTTATTAAACATAGAAAACAAGTCCACAAAATGTAAACTAATTGTAATTTAATTGTAAATAAATAGTCCATTCAATAATTAATTGCTTTTATTGTTCAATTGGTATTGAATTTTATATTTAAATTCCGGAATAAACTTCAATTGTTTTTAAATATTAATTTGAATTTATTTTAAATTATAATTGACTTTTAGTTTAGATTTTAATAATTTATAAATAAAATAAAGATATTCTTTGAATTCTATAATAAAATATATAGTTTTTAAATACAAAACAAATCACAAATAAATAACAAAAATACATATGAATTACAATCAAGAATTTGGTTTATAATAAACAATAAAA